GCTGAACCATATTAGAATGGCAGCATTTTTCCTTTAGTGGTTTAATTTTGCAACAGATGAAACACAACACATATTTAGCACATTCATTGTGAAAATATGTATGTACCTACACATACATAAACGTGTGCATGCACATGCACATGTGTACCCCTGATGGAACGTGATCAAGTAAACCCACAAGTGCTCTAGTGAATCCAGGTACAATAATGTAAAACAGCTCTAAACACAAACTAGATGATCTGCTGCTCTTTACGCAGAACTAGATGGCAAAAGGTGCAACAAGCCCACTGGATCCAGCTATGCCAGTGGGACTTGTATCCATTCCAAAAGCATGAGCACAGGGTTAGATGCAAACACTGCATTCAAAGCAGTATTTGACCTACACACTGTTCTCGCTGCAGTTAGAGAATGATCCCGTTTACCTGATAAAGGTAGTTTCAAATATTTCATCCCAAACTATGTATCCAATTTATAATTAATTTTGCAAGTGAAAAAAGCATAAGTCATTATGCTGCACACGGGCCTGAGCAAGAATCGCTTAAATCAGAGGACGGTGGAAAATGAACTGCAAGTTTTGAAGGGCTTGGTGACACAGGCAGTCTCAAAGACGGAGATGACCGCATGCCAAGGTTTCCTCCAGGTCTGAGGCCCAGTAATGTGCAATCTGAGTCTCTGCTGGCAACCCTTCACTGACAGAGACAGCCTCGTATATGGAGAGTTTTACTGGAAGTGTGGCATTGGTAGATTTGGAATGGAGTAAAATGTCAGTGCCAGTTTCCCTTCTATCCGTGGCTCTGTTGTGCTTCTGCCACGTAGGGGCACATACCGTCACACCACATTATGCAAATTATTTGTGCATTTGTGTGTTTTCAGGCCATACTTGCTTTGCAATGTACCACTCAAAGTAACCGAGTATAGCAGAAGTGGGCACGGAGGTAAAATAAATGAAATCCAGATGTTACCAGGGGTGATCATTAATCTAAAACAAGGGGATTTTTAACTGTCACTTGTAACACCCAGTAAATAACAACAGCTACAGTGACACACATTACAAAAATCAAACACAGTGCTGTTTTGTGGAGAAAAATAATTATTTGGCCAAACTTTTGTTTGGCTGTTATGAAGGATGACATAATTGTCTTGAATTTGGTCATGCAGACTTCAAAGAAGAAGTGGTGCCAGAGAATGAAGGTCAGTTTATGCAATTTTATTATTCTTCAGACATCCATTACATAAGGCTTGGATATGTAAACGTTTAGCATTCGGTGTAACAAAGATTCAGCTTCTCAACAGAAATGCTCCAATACCCTTAATGTTTGTTTTCCAGTTTTTAACATACATTTTTGCTTTAAATACAAACCCAAGCCAAGCACACAGCATTTGACATGTGAGAATTACTGTAACAGATTGTGTAATGAAAGAAACATAGCGACCCACTCAAATTCATCTGCAAGAGTCCCCAGGTGACCGCACCTCTGCCGTGTACCTATTCCAACACAAACGACCCCAAACTCTGCCCTTTGATGTGCCCCTGAGCACTTCCCCAGAGCAAAACACCTAGCACTGTCAGGTCCTAGAAGAGATTCAATGTGACCTCTGGGCAGCACCTACCAACACAGACCATGCCTAGGGCTGGAGGGATACATAAAACTCTCTACTCAAACAGGGCAGAGTGATGGGACTCCCAAAATAAGACTGCCGTACCAAGTAAGGACTTGCTTATGCAGGAGTATTTATCAATGTGCCTGCCACTAAGCTGGTGGCACTGCAGCTTTCTGGGTGAGTGCTCTTTGGTTTTTCTCATGGCTTCTTACAAAGTGGTTTGTGTTAATTGAAAAAGGCATGCCAGACTCCAAAAGAGAAACTCCATAAGGAGTCACATTGGCACAGCTATATCATATTGCTATTTAATAACACATTGCATATAACTAAATTTCTCCATACAAAAATTAGATTCTTCAGATTAAATTCATCCAAGTGAAAGAACCTGTTGAAGGGTATAAACACCACTCCCACTGAAGGCCTAATTAAGCAAGACCCAAAGCTCAGTACTGGACCTTCTCCCAGGAGTGAATTTCATCCATGATAGTATTTTGAACAGAGATGAAGCATTTCCTTTTTATTGCTTCCTCCCACTCTCACAACCCATAAATACTATTAACACTATCCTGACTTTCAGAGTTTTCCAAAGCACGAGGCTATGTTGCTGTTCACTAATCTTCATGTGCAGCACTGCACTGGGCCATTTTCTTCTCCTCATACCTACAATGGCTCCAAACAGAGGTAGTGCAAGGAATTACGGCACCGAAGGGAAAATACCCTGCTTGAGTAGCTGTGTGATGCATTTCCCAGATTCTTCTTTCCAGACACTACAGTTGGTGGAAAAGGGATCAAATTGCACTGTTGACCGTATCCATGAGCAGAGTACATAACTGAAAGAACAAGTATTTACCTGCAATAATCACTGGATATGCTGTTCAGCCTCAGAACTGTATCCTTCACATTGAACTCTGGCTGTTATGTCTATGGCTTTGTGACAAACTGTACTAGAATTTTCTTTCCCTGCTAAGGGCACACGCAAAAACTACTTGCACCTCTATTTTGTGCAATCTAAGTAAGGTGTAGAATGTAGATTAGAAATTTAGGAAAAACTATTTCAGTTGTGGCAGCATCTAAACAGAACAGTCAAAACTTATTTCCAGACAAAAAAAAAAAAAAATTAATGAAATCTTGCATTACCTGACTTGAGCAGAAAATTTCCACTTGTTTCATTATGACAGATTTCAAGACATTTCCTGATATATTTCTACTATTGCTGGGTGCATTACCTATTACCTAATTGTGCACTGTATA